GATTGCCCACCACAAGCAGGGTACCAACTCCCTCCCTTTCTTCCTCTCCTGCTGTTCCGGGTGCGAAAGAGAGTGTAGGTACGTTTGCTCTTCACTTCACTATAGAAAATTTAGTCCATATAGCGGAGATAGCGGGGGTCGGAATCTCGTGACAGAATGGGGAGGATTCCAAAAGTTTGAACAACGATCCCTATGCGGGTTTCTTTCTATCTCTCCGAAAACCGTTGATGTGTAGTGCATGGTTGCGTATATGGAACTAGATTTTGGATGAGGAAACTCTTTGTAGAAATGGTGTTACCAGGGTGGGTGATGGGCCGAGAATGAAAAGTATGATGAAGTGGCTAGGACTCTTCACCTGGCTTTGGTGGGGTGGTTTAGGGTTTAAGGCCTGTTTTCTTGGCACACGAGTGATATATCATGACGATAGTCTACCTTATAATGTACACCCCAGTCCAAAAGTCATCGTCCAACGACAAAACCACACCAAAAAGCAACCCTTTTCAACTTCATGCCCCGCCACACCTGTGGTGAGTGATAATATGAGGCTTTGCAGAACATATTCCAGGAATAAAAATGTCTATCCCAAAAATTCGGACTGCAGAAATATATATTTTTGCATGAACTGTGGGGTTTCTTCTTGAAACTCCAAGACCAACATCACATCCATACTGGGCGGTCTGGCTGCTTTTGTAACTGTTTTCTGGGCGTGAAATTCATAAATTGAGGTGCTTATAAGTATATTTATCTGTTCATGTAATACCAAGAATTTATCAGTGTTACTGCGTTATGGGGAAATGCCACGTTTTGGCGAATTTGGTGTGTTTTCGTTGTCGTACGATGACTTTTGAACTGGAGCTGTACCTAAACCTATCATATGGAATTTTCTTTGTCCTTGATCGCCGTAGTGTTGCGGTTGGAGAACCATATTGAGGGAGAATGATGGGATATATTCGATTTCTTCAGCCTCGAAGGAGGTCGGCCTCGAGTTGTCTTGATCTGCCTCGAGTACTTAGTTGTCAGTAGGTACGGTGACGTATTGCAACATTCATGGCGTAAGAAATTTGAAGACCTCTTTATCAATTATACTCCTATCATCCAGACTGAGTTAGAAGGGCACATAATTATCTCCAATATTCTGGACAGAGTGAGGTGTTGTTCATCGAGATACATCGACATCACTATATGTACTAGCTTGGGTTATGCCTCTGGATATCTCGTGCCCATTACTACGCGCAAGACCTCTTATAAACGGGGATATCAACTGTAATCGCATGGCCGAGGCCGGCGCGTGGCTCCATATAGAAGGCTCTGACCGATATATGTCTCCGATAACATCAGTTCTCGACCCGCAGGAGTAGACCGGGATACTTTAATTTCAGTCTAGTCTGTTTGTACCCGGAACTGGTAAAAAAAAAAAAAGGCTGTGATCTTTCTTACTCTTGTTGGGTAGCTACAGAGCCAGCGGAGCTCTTTTTCTTTTTCTTTTATTCTGCTTAATTCATTAATGCCAGCGGTACTCGGAGGGTAAGGCTGTTTTGAAGAAATAGTTGATATTGTCCATATACTACGCTACTCCAATTCTTTCCTGGAAAATATGGATAGGAAAGTAACAGATCATCTAGCCTCAAGTCCTCGCTTTATAGTGTGTGTGGCTATATATGGTGTTTGTGGCTACAGCAAAACCTATCATAATTCCACCCCGCGGTAGCCGAAGTTTGCTGGAATTATCGTAGGGATGGAGTTTAGAGAGAGGTATTTGTTAACAAACTGCAGGTATCGTTCCCTCCAACCGCTGGAAGTTTGGTAAAGATGGAATTTCGAGAGGGTGGAATCATGATAGGTTTCTCTGTATATCCAGGTTTAAAGGCGCCAGGATTAAGTTATGCTAGTACTAAATACCTTGTTTTGTTCTGTGTAGATATCGTATGCAAAAAGAGAAGAAAGAAAAGAAAAGGGACTGGGGCTTTCGGGTGGAACGGCAGTCAGGCGGTGGACCTTGCAAGGTAAACTTTTCTTACATATGGCGAGAAAACAGAATCAAAGCCTAGACCGTTCCTAAAATATCTACAGAACACCCATAGCCCGTAGCAAGCCAATTAGAGGTGAGAAGAAATCCGATATATCAAGCATTGAAAACCGAGTGATACTCCATGATTGCAATTCACATCAGTCAAGCTATCTCGAATACACAAATACTCTCTCTGTGGTAATATTCGAAAAAAAGTGGAACCGAGAGGGGTGTAGGAACAGGGGTAGAAGGAAGGGAGAGCCTGGCGCCGGGAACAGAGAGACTGGAATGGGGTCGGAGTAAATTAAAGACGATGCATGGGCCTATTAATACGGCCCTGACCGGCTGGCTTAGTTTAAAAGATGTTTGTAGACTCTAGCCCATCTATGTCTGCGGTTAGTTGGTAGCCAACTGCAGGCATGTATTATAGCTACATATACGGGTATCCGCGGAAAGAGACGTAGAGCTTGGTGGGAGATATTACGAATAGTCTTCAATTCCGGCCCACCGCGCGAAATGGAAACACAATCAAAACCTTATGAAATCTTCAATCAGATCTAACCTATGATCAATAGCCTAAAGCCTTCAGCCCTAGGTAGATACCCCCTACGAAGCGCAAGAAGCCGGCAACACAAGAGTCCAATACTCCGAGTGATAACCTATGACTCCGGCACCAACCCGACCCGCCCACCCTCGCCGACAGAGGCATCTACCATGCCATACCAACAGGACGGGTATGCGGGTACGCACCCACAGGGTGTACCGGCGCGGGGGGGCTGTTGCTATAGATGGTCCGGCCGCCGGTGGGTCGGGCAGACGGGCGACGGGTTGAAATGTCTACGGCGCTCTGCGCTCGCTGACGTCGTATGAAGCCCCGGGTCTCTCGGATGTATTCCTGCGCGGTCGCCTAGGGCTGAATACACCGCTTTGCGGAGATTAGTAGAGCGAGTATACAACGGGCGTGCGACGGGGCGGGAGGTATAGCTGTTAAGGGTCGATATAGCGCACAGATTGGAGAGCGAGGCGAGACCAAGCATGTAGCGCAGCGGATGACAATGAAGTTCCCACGGGAAGAAAACCGAGAGTGTGGTTTAGAGGCGGGGGAACTCAACCACGAGTACCCGCCGACCATCAGCGCTGTGTCTCGCACCCGTGCCGCACCACCCCGGTCGTGTCGATACGTTACCCGCAATAGCATCACACGCTCTCACTCGCCGCCCACCCCGCAACGCCGGGTGCAAGGCCCGAAGAACCAGCCAGAGCAATTCCGATCCGCCTATGCACTGTCTCCCTCTCCGAACGTAACACACGTAACGCACCCAAGCCATAACCCACGCCCCGGCCGCCCAAGCTGACACCGCGCCCCGCCAAAACCACAAAAACCCGTCATCCCGATCATTGGCCAGCCCACGACACGAAGGCTGTATGTAACCACACCACGCACCACCAACAACCACAGCCCATAAGCACAACACCAACACGTAGACACAGCACCGTGCTAAACCCCTCTCTCCCCCTCTTTTCTCGCTCTTATCGCTCCACCAATCGCCCCCCCCCCGCGTCCGGTGAAGGTCACGTTACCGGTGAGCAACCAACGACCAACCGCCTGTGTGCTGCCTGCTGCCTGATACATACATACATGTGGGTACGTATTGCACCATATCTACCTGCACGCCTGCGGCGAAACAAAACACACGCAGCAACCGTTGCCTTCGCTTGCTCTCTGTCTACTCTATGTACCTAGCTAGTCTTACCGAGACGAAAGCTTAATCTTGGTTTCTGTCTGAAACCCTTCCAGCGTCCCCCTGAAACGTCGGTAGACGCCCCCCCTCGCCCCCCCGTCTCGACGTTTGGTACCCGGGGTAGAACGAGGGTAAAAGGGTGGCCTTATAAAGGTACCAGCGCCCCGGGAGTAAGAAAAAAGGGGGAGAAGCCTAGGGGGGAAAGCCTTGACATGTCATGGATGGATCGATGGATGGGTGGGTGGGTGAATTTCTATAGATTTATCTGCCCACCTGCCTGTCCCCCCTTATCAACCCCCGACATTGACCGTGGCCGTGGCCGTAACCGTGGCCGTGAAGGTCCGGCTGTTCCTGTTCATCTGGACTACATGTGCCGGTGCGGGGGAGATTGAGATGGTCTTCCCGATCGATGGTGAATATAAATTAGATCCAGATAACGTCCGGTCAGAAGGGGCCGCCCGGTATGCAGATAGATAGTAGAATACATGCAGAGAGATAAAGAAAATAGTACAGAGGGAGCGTATAGCTTGGTAACTAAGGGGGTAATATGTTATAATGATGATGATGCAGATGAACAAATGGGATTGAAAAAAAAAATGCAAACAAATGATTGTTTGACCGGTAGAGAGGCGACAAGAAATAACAACAAAGGGAAAACCTCAATCCCCCTTCAAAGTTCACAAAATAAAAGTGCAGAAATCGAAAATGAAAAAAAGTATAGAGATCTCCCAAGTAAATTGAATCCTCTAGCACCTAGCCATTGAACCTTGGCACTCTGCTGTGGTTGTTATCGGCAGTGTCCTTGCAAGCTACCCATGACAACAAGAGCTGCCGTTAGGGTATCCCTTTTTTTTTTGTTCGGTTTTTGATCCTTTTTTTATATCCCCTTTTGGCACAAACACCACTCCCGGGGCCATTGCACGAGCACTGCAACGGTCGCAGGACGCTCCGGGAGAGGAGTAGTGATGCAACCACAGCCCAGCCTAACCCAGCCTAACCCAGCCTAACCCAACCAACCCACCAGTATAAACCCCCAAAATTACAACCAAAGTAAAAACTCCAACCCAATTCCAGGCCACCCTAATCCAAACACCATCCCTCTTCGGTACAGAGCGGATTGAAAAGAAGAAAAACACAAGAAACACAAAAGGAAGACCAGATATGATAGAGTCGAGTAATCCAATGAAACAGGGGGGGGGGGGGGTATAGCCAAGCTAGACGTATGCGGCAAATATGCGGTTTGAATATCCCTACGAGAAAAACACAGCTCGGGGATCTAAAAAAGAACTTGTTAGCCATGATGCTCTGCAATATACCAACATTCATGAACGCCTAGCGAAAATCGCACGAATTGGACAGAGAAGAGGGCCGGGAATTTGGACAGAAAGCGGATTCGATTTCTGCATGTCTTACTGGTTGCATCACCCAACCATTTCTGTCCAAATTGCCCGAAACCTCAAACCTCGTGCAATTCTATTTTTGGAGAAAATAAAGAACATTGTGTGGTGCTTACCCATGGGCCTGCCGTCAGGAGCGATTCCATTCTTTGCGAGCTTTTGAACCATGTATAGCTGGCGGGCTTCATCAAAGCCGACTTTCTGGCTCCTCATGATTTTGAGGATTTCTTTCTTGGAGGCGACGTCTAGACCGGCGCGCGAGTCGCCGTCCTGGACATTGCCGGCGAGGCTAAAGGCATCGGAACTACGTAGAATTAGTATCAACTTCTGAATATCATCAAGACGCGGTATTGGGAGCTAGCATAGCTAGCTAGCTACCCGGAGCTATCGCTTACCTTAATCCGGCCTCGATATCGCCCTCAAATGAAGAGCTTAGACGATGGTATGCATTCTCGGGAATGATATTTGAGAGAAACGGTAACCAACGAGAACGAGTAATATAGAGGCCTATTGGTGACGCAGGGGGAGAAGCAGAAGGGGAAGCAGAAGAAGAGTTAGGCTGCGATTGCACTGAATATTGTTGCGCAGAACGAACGGGGGATGGAGGCGGCGACGACATACCGGTTGAGATCACCATTAAGAAGATGGCCCACGACCAGAGGATGTAGTTTTCTGTCAAGATGGCCATGACGAGAGGGGGGGGGGTGTGTGCGGATGTTATGTATGTTGTGATTTACCTGCACCTTATTTTTTTTCTATTGATTCCAAGTTTAGACTTGTATGTTCTTTCTCGGTATGGCTTTAGGGAGAAGCCCTTTCTTTGGAACGAGCGGGTTTCTGGGCTTGGGGTAGCTGTATGCAGATGTAGGTAGCTGTGTGGAGAGGAATCGATATGCGGGGGGTAAGCGGAGGGGGTAAAGGCGAGACAAAAGAAAACAAGGAATGAGTGGAATCCAGCAGAGCGGCAGTTTTAGGATGTGACAAAAGGGAAATAGAGTGTGCTGTTTGGTGTTTTTCACTGCCAAAGTAGAAAAGAGCTGATAGAGATCTTGGTTTGCAAAGGAGGAATAGTTTTGGGGAGGAAAGGATCGTCAAGAACTTAACGCCAGGCGGTTGATCCGGAACCGTCAATGGAAATAGAAACGCATGACGGGGGATGTTTGGGGTGCCTTTACTTGGCTGTGGCGGTGTTTTAGAAATCACTGGGTACGGTTACAGGTTACTCTACATAGTAAGATGGAGGGAGTGGTGTGTGTTTCGCGCGCGCCCGGGAGCTTGGTGGATCGTAGGCGGATTGGCCGGGGGGGATTAAAAGTGGGCGTCGTCATGTACTCGCGTCAGGGAAAAAGAACCAGAACATGCAAGTGAGAAAGCAGGGATTATTTGTATGGAGTGGCGCTGAGCTGCCATACAGTGGTGGGTAATAAGTCATCGGACGACCTAGCCACAATTTTGCCTGCAAACGCGTATTTTGGTGGCGTTCCGTCTGATGACTTATTACCCACCGCTGTACAAACTAGGCATTTGCATGTTCTGCAGAAGTCAGTGAGGTAAACAAAGCCTATTGTCTAAATCGGGCGGTAACTTGTGTAACTTACAGAACGCTGCATGCCAGAAAAGGGAGAGGCATCTGCAAACAGAAAGGATTCATTCCAGACTTGACTAGCGTCTAGAAATAGAGACGAGAGTCTGGCCACAAGGGTGACGGGAAGCGATGATTCTTGCTTTCTAGAACGTCAATCGTCAAAAGGACCCTGGCCTGGATAAAGTATAGTCGTAGGGCGCCTGATGCATGGGGTTTGGGGTTTGGGGCTAGGTCGTGGGAAACCCTGGTTACCGTCACGGATTGCCCACAAACCCAAACCGTTACGCCAGTTGACCGAAAGTTTCACCCCCCCCAAACATTACAACGACCACCCACCATTTCGACGCCGTCAATATCGCTTTTTAGGTCAGTAATGCCATTCTCAAGTCCCGTCGTCATTTGAGTCTAGTTCTGCTGGAATTTTGTGCCTTTGTGCTTCGCTCTTTTGGGTGAAATATTGAAGAGTATGGAATTTTAGGGTTTTGGGGTTTTAGGGTTTTGGGGATATTGGATGGAGGAGATGTACCTCAAAAAGAATCAAAGCTTAATTAAATGAGTTTTACTAAATACAAGCTCCTGTAGGAACCCCTCCCACATCACACAAATCACCAAACATCACAATGTCGAACGTTGTCGTCAATGTCTCCTCTGACCTTCTGTGGGCCATCACCAGGAACAACTCCTCCTACATCGTCAAGCGTGGTGTTGGAAATGAGCGGGTCACCTTCTCCAAGGAGCCTTTGAACTTGACCAACAAGCACTCTCGCAAGGTATTTCCCCTTATATTTTGAGATAGAGAGGCTCTCGAGTCGATTGCTGACTTAGTAATAGCACTCCGGACTTGTCAACGAGAAGGTTGGAATTGCTCCACATCACGTGCTCGGTGCATTAACCAGGGCTATTGATTAACGAGTGATTTTCTGTAAATAGGCTGTTGGCGTTCAGGCTAACGAGAATGGCGGTGTTACTTGTATGTTTCAGTTCTGAAATGGAGGAGGAGGGAGAGGCCGGGGCACTTCATGATATAAGCAGACACTAACATGGACCACAGTGATCACCAAGAAGAGCCACGAGAAGTACGGCTCAAAGCCCGCCTCCCTCTATGACACCACCGCGTTCTCAAAGAACAAGTCTCAGCGCAAGTAGGTTCACGGAGAAATAATTACCCGGGGGAGGGCCAATGATAGGTTGGGTTAGCTGACAAATCGATCACTCAAGGACCTATGCTGCGATTGTCAACCGTGTCGCTAAGAAGCACTACCGGTAAGTTATGATTCTGACTTCTTTTTGATATTTGGTATTCGGTATCTTTCGGATGGCTTGCTGACTTGAGGTTTTCACTTCAATTAGACCCGACCTCCGCCAGGCATGTTATTCCTGTTTCCCTTAACTCCCGTACTTACCCGATAGCCGATCCTAACAACCGGAACAGGAGGCTGTTGCTCGTGCCAGTGCCATCAAGAGGTCGCAGAGACCCGTCAAGGCCACCCCTGCCAGCAAGCCGAGAGGTGTCAAGGCCAAGGCCGCCGCCGAGAAGGCTTAGATAAAATAAACGGTTTTGTGTGGAGAGTGGGGGTCGAAGCATTTTTTTTTTCTCCTGTAGTGAAAATAAATGAAAAACTTTACTATCTCGGAATTCTTTACCTTTACTTTTTTCCTTTCCTTTTCTTTTCGTCTGCATACGGTACTGGAATAATTACCCAGCTACCAGGCACTAAGCCATCTATCCGATTTGAGAAGCAAAAGTAGGTCTGGAGTAACCCACATGTAAAGCAAAGCGGTTAAGCGCATGGTGTTGTAAGCTTCCCTCCGAGCCAACCACTCAGTACAATGCTTGTGCGACCGTAGTTCGGCCCGCGGTAGACATCCCCGCAATCATCCGAGGCGGAGTTTCGGCCGGCGAATTTGTAGAATCCAATACGTGAATCGTTTTGCGAAAGGTAGGGATGTACGGGAGATGTAAGTGTGAAATTCACAGCGTGGGGTACATCTGGCTACGATGAAGATGAAGGACTCGATGAGGAGTGCATGTGTTCGTAGCCGGCACCCCCGCTGCTGCGGGATTTGCAACGTCAACCCACCCCACCATGACCCCACCAAATACATAAAACATCAATTGATCCTCCTCATCCCCCTTTCAAAGTTCTCTCCAATCTTCACTTACTCGTCCACTACTTAAGAGATTACTTGACACTACGACTTTATTTCCTCTTTATTATCCGACACCGTAATCAAAATGGTCAAAGCTGGTAAGAAGCCTATGTGGACTCTTTTATTTGGTATAGTCGTTATTATTCTTGCTAAAAAAAAAGGATGTAATAGTTGTTCTTGGTGCTTCCGGTGGAATCGGGCAGGTAAACAAAGCGCCTCCTGAGGATTCGTTCTAGATTTTTGATGAGAACGGACGAAAGAGAAATAAAGAAGGGGGAAAAAAATGGAAGAGCTCAGTCATGCTAACGAGGTCCTACAACCATAGCCTCTGTCCCTCCTCCTCAAGGCTAGCCCCCTCATTGACGAATTGTCACTATACGACGTCGTCAACACCCCTGGTGTTGCCGCCGATCTCTCCCACATCTCTTCCCCCGCAGTAGGTGCCTCTTTCATCCATATTGTACCGTAATAGTTGAGCTTACATTGATATTTAGCAAATAACTGGATATCTCCCTGCCGATGATGGCCTCGAGAAGACTCTCACTGGTGCCGACATCGTTGTTATTCCTGCTGGAATCCCCCGTAAGTTTGGTCATCTATGTTAGCAGGCTTCGTGGGCATTAAATATTAACTACTGATAGGAAAGCCTGGAATGACTCGCGATGACCTCTTCAAGATCAATGCCGGAATTGTCCGTGACCTTGTTACTGGCATTGCCAAGTTCTGCCCCAAGGCTTTCATTCTGATTATTTCCAACCCTGTCAACTCAACTGTGCCCATTGCCGCAGAGATCCTCAAGGCCCACAAGGTCTTTGACCCCTCCCGTCTCTTTGGTGTAACTACTCTTGATGTTGTTCGTGCTTCAACCTTTACCGCCCAGATCACTGGGGAGAAGGACTCGCGCAAGATCGTGGTACCCGTCATTGGTGGCCATAGTGGAGAGACCATTGTTCCTTTATTGAGCTTGGCCAAACCTGCTTGCGACATTCCCGCTGATAAATTGGATGGACTTGTCCACCGTAAGTTATCCGCCTGGCATCTTGTTTTTCAGGCCTTTCATCTGACAGATCTGGTTTTGCAGGTATCCAGTTCGGAGGTGACGAGGTTGTTGCGGCCAAGAACGGTGGTGGTTCAGCCACCCTGTCCATGGCGTTTGCTGGTTTCAGGTGCATGACATCTAGCTAAATGGTTGACTTCAAAGCTAACTTGAAAATAGATTCGCTGAGTCGGTGATCAAGGCCCTCAAGGGCGAGAAGGGCATTGTTGAACCCACTTTTGTCTACCTACCTGGTGTCTCTGGTGGTGATGAAGTCAGCAAGTCCCTTGGTGGTGGCATCGACTTCTTCGCTGTCCCTGTTGAGCTCGGAGTACGAATTTACCCACCCTGTTATTAATGGAAATAATGCTGTTGGGATGAGATACTAACTATTGAATAGCCCCAAGGTGCCGTCAAGGCGACAAACCCCATCCCCACGATCAACGACAACGAGAAGAAGCTTCTCGAGATAGCGATCAAGGGACTCAAGGGAAACATTGAGAAGGGTGTCGAGTTCGCGAGAGCGGCTGAGCCTGCAAAGTTGTAAACCCTGATAAAAGCTCTTTCCTATCACTCGTATGCTTGGGTGTGAAGCTAACAATGGGCTTCATGATGTATTTGTAGATAAATATTTTACCGACTATTTAAAAAAGAAAACAAAGAAAAAAGAAGAAAAAAACAACTGGGGTTAGAATTCAACGTCACCAACTGTCGTTTGTGTACTTGGATTTCCTTTGTACCCCTTCAATTGAGGCCCAGATACAAAAGGATTATTGTGATGGGAGAATTCTGAGATAGAAACTTTTTTTAAAGGCTCGTTTGTTGCATAATATATACCCAGGAAACGGACATGCGTATTTTCAGCAAGATCAATCGAATCAGTTTTTTTGTGACCGATATAAGGTGAATTTGATTGGTACTAATCTTGAATTTGACGAACTCCCCTAACTCCCAGACTGTTCTTCTCCAGTCTGCCCAATGAACAAAAAAAAAAAAAAAACGTAGAATTATTTCAAGTTCACGCCGAGGATATATCAATTTTATAAAACCACCGTCTGCTTGTAGCTTGGCGAAAGAGTAGAAACACCATTAAAGCGAAATCCCGGAAACTCATACCGCGGATTTAGATATTGTCTCTATCTTGAACGTCGCAGCTGGAAGTTCTGTTGTTTCGGCCTGAACGCTCGCATTCACACCCATATTCGCCAGTGCTCCTCTAACAATACCACAAGGGAACCATAGGAACTACATCCACTCATGATTAGCACAAAATAAGGAGTAACGATGGATGTATAGTTATACTTACAGGTTGAGCTCTGGCAACAGCATTTCCGCCAGCCTCTGAGCTCATCCGTGCAAACGGACGGAAAGTATTATCGGTTAATACATAAACACCCTATACCCCGTTTTGTTAACACCCCTCACCTCCGGATAAAAGCTCTATACACTGATGGATAGCTTACACGGTGATTTGTCTTTAAGTTGTCGATCTGCTTCCTAAAAACGATAGTCCACAGGTCTTTACAGATGAATTTTATAACATCGAGTGTATCAACCATTCTGGTCCGGTCTCTCGAAAACCTATACATTCTTTTGTTAGTGTTGCAAGAACAAACCAGCTCCCAGCTTCCGAACAAACCTCTCTACGAGCCCTTGTCCAACTCGATACCCTAACGACTCGAGGCGATAAAACATGGCCTCCCTCTCTTCTTCATCATCCAGAGCCTCATTCGTCACGCTCAACTCATTCGCTAGTCGGTGCGCCAATGGGACAATCTCGATGAGTAAGAGGTCTAAGCACGTCGAGTTTAGAAAAGAGGCATGCGGGTCGGATGCATTGTATGGGGGCAACGGCGCATCGAAAGACATTATTCTTCTTTCCAGTAGAAATTCGGATGTCCCCAAGGTAACAGGCGGGAGCGGGTGGGAATGGCAGGAGTGTTGATGGATCGGAGGAATCAATGTCCCTTATTAGGGATGTATAGATCGTCAGTCGTTGGGAATACGGGAGGGACAGCAGTGCATCTCCCACGGGAAAGGATGCTTGTATACCGTTTAAGCGTTGAGCGTGGTGTTTGTCAATAAGATTGCAGCTCCAGAGTTCAGTTGTAGCCCCATGTGGCTGAACAGGGGATTTCAAGCCACTTTAACTGCATTATCAGTTGTCACGTGATATCCAAATAGAACCAAATTCGCCAAGCTAGATGATAGGATATAATTACTGTAGGTACATATTTGAGCTAGCACAAAAGATCCGAGGCATTTTACGTACACTTAAGCCCCCTTGACCCAGTAGACCATTCATTCAAGCTGAGATAAGCTCACGAAAAAGCACAAAACCATTACTCCGCATAATAGAATTCTTAAAAAAAAAGAAAAAAAAAGAAAAACCCTTGGTAACAAAACAACACCGATACCCGCAAGAAAAAGAGTTAACATAAGACTAAGGCTTTAAGGTTTAGAGAGAGAGACAGAGTAAAGGATGGGCAAGTGATGGTCCCAGACCCGTCAAGCAAGGACCAGAGGTGCATCGGCTAAATGAAGACTAGGATATAGTAAAGTTACTATTGATTGAGGGTAGGATTGGGAACATGATTGGGCATATCATCGGCTGTCGAGCCCTGGCAACGAATCATAATACGGAACTCCTGGAAGTCTCCCATTGCCAGAATTGATGCTCGCGGGTGCTATGAACGGGGTTGTCCGTTTTGAGGGGTGTAGCTGTTCGTCATCGTCATCGCTCTGCGTAAGATCAATAACTTGAGAAAATGGCCGTTTGCCGCTGCCACCTCTGGTCAGTGGTGACACTTCCCCAGAAGATTGAGCAATAGGCGAAACAGATGAAGGGGTTGCTTCATCCTTGATCTTTGTGACACGACTATCCAATATCTCAATAATCTCATCGCCGTAATTATCATCATCAGAGTCAGGCATTGGCGAATTTGTCGCCGTCGCAGCAATGGACCATCGACCATCAACATCAATTGTTACTGATTCCACAGCTTTTGGTGTGTTATTCAAGATGTTGAGGAAATATCTTGAAGAATTAGCAATCTTTGTAAAATAAAAAAACAGGCGATATAGAGAGCATACTGATCAACCACAAGACTCTTCCATCCGATACTTTTGTTACAAGTTGGACAGCTCCATGTCTATTACTGTCAGCTATCTGTCTAGACAGAATGTTGATGTCAGGAAAGAGAAGGAAAAATTACCGGGGCTTGCTGCTGCAATTGCAAAAAGGATGTACCATCAAAACATTGGATATGGTTGCAGAATGTACTGCGGACAGGAAGATTGATGCGAAGTGTGGACAGTGGACATTTTAAAGACATAATACTAGCTGTGGCTACAAGGTCGGAATCTTCGTTCTTTTTGACCACTACAGTGCCGTTCGTATCAGATTAAATACCAGCTGGGGAATCAGAATACTCACTGTCAGCAATTACGGTTTCTTTTGCAATGAATGCTCCAACACGAAGTTTCTCAACAAGTTGATCAACGGACTCTTGCTGTACAAGGTTCACTACAAACGCAAACTTCTGGGGGAGGTGAGTTAGTCTTAGCCGTAAACTAGGTACAAAAATTCGACACTCACTTTTTGGGTAAGGGCATAAGTAAGAGTAACTTCATTACGATATAATGCCTTCTTGTTTAATATGTAGTCGGTGATGTCAGCAGGCCTTGTAGATCCAGGTTTGTTTTTTAGTCCGCGAAGATTAAGCCCTGAGATTTGCTCGTTGTTTACACGAAGTTCAACTTGATGCGGAAAAGCTATTTCTGTATCTTTCGTAAAGGGAGTTATGCCATCAACAGCTGCGCAATATACCATACAACGGTAAGATTTATCTGTGAGCTGTTGCGTATCCGCGGGGGGTAAGTTAACTATGGCCGTAACGGTGTTGCGATGGGTGTTCATCACTAATTTACATGTTAATACTTTACTCTTGTCCTAAAGAGAAAGAGTAATAATAATAATAATGATATATATATATATATATATATATATTATATGGTGGGAGGAAAGGAAGAGAGAGATAAGAAATAAGGTAAGAGTAAAAAAAAAGGTAAAAAAGGTAAAAAAGGTCTACCCCTCGTACCTGGGCATTGTTCGATATTGCTAAGTGCCTTTAAAACTGTGTAAAAAGGGCTCTCTTTGAAATGTATCCGAGTGATATCTATAGAAGCTTCAAGTTAGTGTAATTGCGTCAGGGCCAAGAACAACTAACGGGCAGGAGCGCAACTTGAACTAATTTGGGGAGGATACGGCTGAGGCACCGCGGCTGCGGCTGCGGCAGCGGAGGCCGGATAGTGTCCTGACCCCATATTGACCACAGGAGGTGAACCGTAACCGTTGGATGAAGGGAAGCTTGCCGGGGAGGCTGCGCCCCTGTTAGGTGTAGGTGAATCTGAACGATAGATGAGTTGCTTAACTCTATCGATTCCTGCGGTGTCGTTGGCGTTCATGAGGCTTTCAATATCTTTGGGTAGAATTAGAAAGAAGGAACAGTGGTGGACAAGGGTAACTAAGAGGTGACATACATGCTACCAGACGCTTCTGCAGCATAGCCTTTAAACCACTTGCAGGCTGACCCTCTGCTTTCAAGACAGCCTGAAGCTGGCGAACAATCAGAGAGTTCGATACATGCCTGATGAGATGCTGGTTATCATTACGGGAGAACGAGGACATTTGTTACAAGCCAAACGCGGACGGCGGATGAGTGATGTAGAACAGTACAAATGCTTGTGGAATATCTAAACAGGTTTGAAAGCGCGCGAATTAGGGCTACAAACAAGAGGAAGAGACGTTGGTGGGAAGGGGAGAATGCGAAGGCATATAGACGAATGCCCCGAGACGTTAGAGATGGACGGGGAGCGGCGATGGGGAGGATGTGGTGGTGGGCGGGCTTGAGAGGGTTCGGCTGTTATGCAACAGTCAATCCGTTTTCTCTCGATGGGTTAGTGAACGTGCGATATGGGCAGGGTATAGTATCATCCCTACATGTAGTTACATGTATCCTATCGCGACTGTGACCGGGTTCTTGATCGATCGATGTAGGGTAACCCATCCTAACTACATGTGCTCAACCTTTCTGCATCTGGTACCCGTACTAATAGTAAGGTTGTGCCTGCGCACCTACATGTACTTCGAGAAAATCGTACCCATAGTCAAAGCAGATTCATAGTATAATATCTACATACATACCAGCTTGTTTATAGCTCGATGACCTCTGACTATCAAAGAAACTTCTCATGTTCGATTCTAGTTGTAGAGCCGAGTAACTCAATTTTTTTCAGAAACGCACGCTTCCGAATACTCCCAATCAGTAGCTAGATATATAAATTTATTATAGAATCACCTAAATAAGAATAACTAAAGTGCCTATCTGAATCTAAGAGCGGATACAATGGATGTACTTTACTGGTGCATTGTACCCACTCATGATTTTGAATGGGTTACTACATTTAATAAGTATATAATTATAACCTGCATCTGCAATGTGCTTTTATAGTCTTCTGATTGGTTCATTGAGAGCTGTTTTTGTTTCACTTGAAACATGTTATGTTGGATATTAACATAGGGTATTGTGCTGAGTGTTGCCAGAGTGTTAATAAAGTTTCTACTGGTTCTGGGAATCAGTTAGTAGTTCGATTTTAGCAGCTTGGTGGCTGCTAAAGGGATATACCTGTAGTTTTAACTGAAGAAATTGTTTGACCTATCTGTTGATATATCGGGGATATCAGAAAAGGCACATATTGACCAGAGCAGATCTAGATATAGTGATTGACATTGCCTGCCAGGAGGGATCGAGGGCCCCTCATCGGCCTGAAAGCCCCGACTGACATTCAAAAGAGAATAAGACGCAAAGCGGCTTGCCTATATATTGGACTGATTGATATACATATAGTACCGGCCGAAGGCTGGAAACTACTTGTTTACATTTAGTAATCCTTGGCCAGCTCAATCTACATGTAATTTTGGGGATGGATCTATAACGGGGCTACTATCAGGCTGTTATAATAATACCTGTTCTACCAGTCAGAGCCATACGACCCTAGGGTAACCGCAGCTTGTTCTTCATCGACGGGTGAAGACAAGGGCAGGTGAGCCCCTACCTCTATTGGTATGGAGGGTAGGGATCTTAGCGAGCAACGAGCTTCATGAGTCAAGGCAGGCGATTGAGTAAAACTAGAACAGAAGGACAAGCATGCCAAACAGAAAGGGTAACCCTAATATAAGTTACCCTACCTTGGTGGTTGACCTTTGAGGTGCAATAACTTTGCAACCGATGTCCGGAAAATATGCTTTAGCACGCTAGAAAGGATCCTGGCGGCGCTCCGGTCAATTTGGGCTAATCTAATGAGCGCGTTGCGGAGTTGAGGAAACACTGCAAAATAAACACGTTTTAGACCCCAAAAATAACCCCGGAGCGTCGAACCGCCGGAACCCTCCTGTTTCAGCCTGGTGCATCTTTGGGGAGTATGAGTACAACCCAAGCTACTAAAAGCAAACCTCGCTTTACAAACCACCAAATCTATTCTAAAATAAATTGAATAAGCAATTGCTATCTGATCGGTTGTTTCCGCTAGTTCTTAGGATCCCGACCAGCTTTTAGCAGAGATTGCATGATTTGACTCGGGCGGAAGTTCGTCTGAGGCGTAGTAGCTACTCCTCTCGCCCCTCATAGAAAATAGTCGCTGTGCCCCCGACTATTGACAGGCAGTTTGCCGTCAGAAACAAAGAACCTGAACAAAGGCACTGAACTTCTATAAAGAACTCGGTAATGTTCCAGGTTGGCCTCTCAGAATTATCAGATCTTTACTAGCGAGAAGACCCCTTAAAGTTATTAAGTTTCTAGACTACAAATAACGATCAAACAAAAAACAAACTCTATCCTTCTGTCGAACGGGTCCCATCATAACTCGTTCGCATTCTTTATCATTTCTACCTGATCGAAGTCACGGTCGTGCCCCATCATAGCACCCCCGTTACAGGATCATATACACGGCAGGTACCACGTGCAGTATACCTGGCGGGTGCTCTATTAAAGTAATATTGACAGTATAGAATAGAGATAAATTATTTTTTCTCATGAAAGGCCGGCTCCTCCATTCCATTAAAGTACATATAGTCAGCAGTGTAATGGAGCCACTTCAACTATCTGGTGTATGAGTACACACAGGGCCCAGTTACATGCTGAGAGTTATTGATAGAAGCCAGTTGCACAGTGACATGCAAGTACCGGCAGTGTGGTTAGCTACCAGCTATTAGAGTAACTACATTCTGAGCGTTAGGAAGAGTGTCTATTCATGGAAGTAATGACTGACGAGTCCATGCCTCACCAATGATTAGAAAGCCAGCCAGAGTGAAGCTCTGAGTGCTCGGCAATCCTCTATATCCTCTGAGCATTGTGAGTCCACCGGTATCGGTAGGGACCATGCCTGAAAAGTTTACAATAAGCGAAGAGCTCTACAGCAACGATTAAGCTTACACCTGAGCGGCAGCTCATTCATGCAGGTTCCGGTTGTTCGACAGCCAAGACTGCAGGTGTTACAAAGGCTTTGACTAAGGGTGGTTGCCTTCGGAACTGGAAGCACTCGCTGACGCTTAGAGAGAAGCGGGGTAGCCATGTTATTGCTTCCCTTCCGCTAGAAGGCAGTACCGGAACTTAGTAAGGAAGTAGGAGCAGCGGAACAGAATCCTTTGGAGCATAACTACTCAGGATCCTTCCCGCCCAACTATCTGTTTTCCCCAGTCTTCAAGAGAGCTATTAAGTATTTTTTACTCGGTAGCAGAGCCCTTAAAGATTATTGAGTTCTTAACGATAAATCTTTGAATAATCTAGACCTGATTTCTATCTTGCACGGCCATATCTTTCCATCGGATTCTAGCGATACGTGGAAAGACTGTCCCCGTTACATTCTGGAGGACTGGCTTGCCTATTCCATTCCATTAATATGTTTGGGTACACCTTAAGAAGCTTTACCATCAACAGTATCCCCATTTGGCATATGGTACTGGATCACCTTAAGTATTAAAGCCCCTCATGGAGGAAGGTCTAATTCATTGCTGGGAACTGTTACCTGATGATTTCTTTGGTAGCTAGTTGAGAGCATGCCTAGGAGAATAGAGCTGTTATAAAGGCAAGAGGTTAGTACACAAGATATTAAATGTCAAATTATTTTTATTTATCTACTATTTAACAACTGTATAAAAAACCAGCTCTCTAAAGGATCAATTGTGGTTGCTGGGTGGGTAGTCGTGGTGGCCCGGGAGGTTGCTACGCCGCGCCTTCCCATGATTTATGGCCTAGAACTATAGTTATGATTTCTGTTGGCTCAACTCGATCCCCGTTTCTCCAAGTGGCCGAAAAACCCAAACTAGCAAAGAGGAAATTTAAAAGTCACCAAGTCTCATTACTTTCACTCTCCTTCATATAGCGCGCTAAAAAAAAAAACCTACACGTGATCCTGAGGCTACGTATGTCCTTGCTATATTTGCTTCTATTACTGAAATTACTTGTAGTTATAAAGAGAAAAGTACACGTATATATAACTGTCGTAGGCTAAATATATGTAGTTAAAGATATGTATTTTCTAATATATACATATATGTAGGGAGCTGTTAAGTGACTATAGCAATGTGTGCAATAGTGCATGTACATATAGTTACGGATGTCGTGGCGGAGGAGACGTGTAGTCATTATGACAGTCTCGTAGAGCTAGAGTACATGTACTTAAGGGAGGTTCTCTCCGAAACCTCGTAATAGAACCATCACCATCGATACCCTCTCTGAGACACCCCCTACATTATGAATGGGCCACCTTCCTAGTTACATCACTATACTACATGTGTTTAAGGCCTAGGTGAATGAGTACATATAATTGACTATTATTTATCAGCATACTTATCAAATAATATAAGAAATGCGTCTAACGTAATATATCTGCATACAGCTGTAAAAGTATCAGAAGCGTGTACTATAGCTATGAGGAAGAGCATCCAGAAAGGTAGTGCATCAGCAATGTGCAGTCTGCCTATGGACATTTGCAATCGTCGGAAAGATGTCGGAAGGGTGTCCGGAAAGAGCAGGAGAAGTGTATTCTGGAGTATATATATACATGTATCATATCCGTTAGGTTTATAGGTTATATCCTACCCAACATGCAGGTAGACTATTTTACCCCTAGAACTGTCGAAAATCTCGAAAACCAAACCAAGCCCGGACATAAACCCTAACCCTTATCAGCCTATAAGGGTACCTGTCCTATAAGGGTACCATCTTGCGGTCCCATCGTACCCTCTTGCGGTCCCATCGTACCCTTATAGGGAGACCCAACTGTATATACTATCACCCCGTGCTCGGCGTCTAGGATCGTGTATCCTAGGATGTGCAAAACATCTGTATGAGAAAATAGAATGTTGTTATAGGTAGTAAGCACATAACGTACATGTGAAGATAATTTCTTTAACCCTGATGATGTAGGGGATTCGAATTCATTAATAGCAGCCGGATCTGGAGGAACGCCGAGTACAAACTTTGCGCCGGTACATGTAGTCTTGTGCTAGAGCTAGCGCGAGTGATAGCCCATGACGGCTTTTTTTGTTTTGTTTAATTTATTAATTGCAACCCATGACGGCTGTGGTTATGTTCCGAGAATAATTTGAAACATCCTTATATCCACACACTGGAATATAAGGAAAAGTGCAAAAAGAAGTCGCTAGGTGGACTAGCAACATTGGGTTGCGTAGTAATACATGTATATAGCACCGATAGAATAACAAGGCCACACGTGATGACCTAATGCAGGAAAATATAAGGTCAATGATACAGCATCCGATAGTAAGTTTGAGAAAACTCGTGCAGAGTATCCGTAAGAGCTATACTATCATCATACATGTAGTTTATATAGAGAAATATATTTTGTATGTAGCTAATACATGTACCAGTTCTGTCGCCAATTGTTTCATCCCAAATTTGATGAACGGAACTCCATAAAATCGATAGAATTGATCTCTATATATTATAGTTACTAATAGAAACTGAAAGCTACAGTATCGGATCCAACTGCCAAAGATATAATTGTAATTATAATTACAATACTTCGTACTTTCTAGATTTGATATATAAACGCTTTTGGTGTTTTGAGGGGACCGGGGGTGTATACTGCGTAAGAGACTACATATTATAGGCTTGTCTATGCATTTAATTACAGACCTTTGAGTACATGCATCTGGAGTATCAGCAGTGGATCAGGGTTGCGTACCCAATTAACCTTTTCATCTTGAGTACGTACGGGATCGCCAAAGAAACTGAAACCAGCCTAGTTTGATGATCATTATTTTGTTAATGTACAGAAATATAAGAATTCCGGAATATATATATATATATACGGACTGTACTAGTTCTAAGCATATTTACAAATATTTTTTCCCCCGCAAAACACCCGTCCTTAATTCTCACCAAAAATCTGTGGTAGTTAATCAAAGCATGAGAGTGGTAAGAAGACTGCCAGGCGGGTAAATCTGTAGACACCTCCTGGGGGGTGGGGAGTCTATAGACCACATTTGAGCGCCTGCAAACCTTCAAAAATATCTACGGGATGGCTTCCACTATTTGCCGTTTTTATAGTCCATATAAATATATCCCTTCGAATTGGTCTATATTCAAGATTTATGGCGATTTGTAGCTCACCATACAAAATTCAGAAGCTAACTTGAAGTAATATTAGTCGGCGGCGCAAAACTGACCACTAGTGTCACGCAAAATTGGTCTAAAAAGTAGTGGTGTACCACTTATCGTTGGGATTGTGTGTCGATCGCCACGGTACGCCGTTTCTCCGGCAGGAAGCTATAACCTCAGGAATAGACGAAGGGATGTAAGTATTTAATCTACAGTACCAGCTAGTTTATGTATTCATTACGAGACTACAGTATTTCTATATTATATTGCTACGCTAATAATGGTACTTGAGATTCCAATTTAATTTGGAGGTTTTACACTTTTTGGAACGATTTGTGGATTCATTAATTGCGCAAATGAGAGATGAGCTTCAGGAAAAGAAGAAGAAAAGGAAATCTCGTTGATAAATCACAAAACGAAACCGTAGAGCCCGGTCATAAATGTTTCGGGAACCTAGTTTCTTATTTCATAAAGAACATGTAATTCCTATCATAACAATTCGTCTTTCGTGTTCTAACCGTCTAAATCAAATATTAACAAATGGGCTATTCTTTGTACAAAAGGTGTAACATAATGAGTGACAGCAACCCCAGATCCTGTGTATAAACTCCATAAAACAGTTAAAGGGACGGGTGTCCAACCACGTCCAATTCCCGACAAAGATAACTCCCAAGCGTATGTAAAAAAAATAAGAAAGCAAATAAAAAAATAGAGAGGATCAATTCTACAATATGTAGATCAGAAGGGCACAGCCGGCTGTTATAAAGGTGAGAATAAAGCGCGATGGGTTGAATGAAGGCACACTGTCTGAAGTACTTGTAGCCATAACTCCAGTAGCTGTCCTAGTGACGAATCCAGAGACGTATGGCATTGTGTTTGACCTATCGCTTTCACCAGTTGCGGGTATCGTCACCGCGCTGGCGGCCCCGGTTGCATCTGGAACAGAATTATTCCCAGTTCCAATTTCGAGAATGTTACTATCTGTAACGTTGTATAGTGTTTGGGCAAGGCTGATTTCTTCATTGTCAAGGTCGTAAACGACATAGGCGGATCGGAGAAAAGTATCACCCTATATGATTTAGAGAAAATAATTTTGGTTTTGTCCACAGACGAATACTCACAAGAACATTTGAACCACCAGCAGCATCCAATATACCAAAATAGCAGAGAGGTGTGCCGTCGGTGTATGTAGCCAGGTTTCCGTCATTATCATACGCATCGACGATTAACTCGCGCAACGCCACCGTGATATTTGCTCCAGAAAATCCATAGGTAATGCTACCATTGTAACTTCTAACATCACAAGGCACAATAGCACATCCGAGACTTTCGACTGTTTGGGCGCCAACCTGATCCGTCAGTGCGGCGGCAAGATCGGTTGGTAAATATGTATATGTAGATCCGGTATCAAGGAGGGCAGCGACTTCGAAGCCACTTTTAGTTATAGTCAGGGAATCGGCGTTATCATTGACAAGTGTGACAGAGGTGAGCGTGATCGCAAACTCACGGGATTGAGTTTCACCCTCTCTTTTATCGATAGGGAGGGTGGTTAAGGAGCCGTGAAATTTGGCCGTATCCACACCCCCGAAGAGGATCTGTCCAGTAGTAGCATCTAGAAACCTAATCAATCATTTTGTTCACGATTAGGCCTGCACCCCGAAATTTTATATTACATACCAAGATCATTAAGCCAGAGACTATATGCCCGAGACTTGATAAGTCCTTGATCGGCCATCACATCAACCAAATTTCTATAGGGTGCCTTGCCCAATCTTTGGACCTGAACTTCATTAAGATTGAAACCAATTCCCATGATTCCCTCGCTGGAGCTCGAACTAAGTCCAATTCCGAATTGAAGACCCGTAACGTTTGAACCATCATCGAAATAAAATATGTCTTTGCCGTAGTCACCCTTCGCATATTCTCCATCGACGTAAGAAATGCTGAAGTCATCTGCAATCTTTGAGTATGTTGAAGAATCGTTATAGTTAAACGTTCCGGTAGAGCCACACGGATCGGTTGATTGCATACACAGAGAAGAGTCCGCACTTTCAACCCAAATGTCCGAAGAACCAGTGTCGATACTATTATAAATTATTATTTATACTTGTACTTTTGATGAAACGGGGAAGGATCGACCAAACATACTGTAGACGCAATTGCTGTGGCGGTGTACCAATGCTAATATTTGCATAATATAAATAATCCTTAAACACAACGGTTAGATATAGAACGTTTTATCGAGAAAATATATTTTAAAGAGGGCATACCATATTATCTAAGCGCTGTAAAATTGTGTCTGCTCTTTTCCGCAATTTGGGGATATTGTCAAGGTTTTTTTTAACCTTATCGAATCCAAAGGAGCGTGGTATAGTAGAGCCAGTGGGTGGAGACAAATTTACAGCAAGCACTCCGTCAAGCAATGCCAAAGTGGCACAAAACCATGTAGTGTAACCCATCGTCTATATGATCTATCTGCTGTGAGAGTCGACCTTAAGGACTAGAATAGACTAACTAAGGCAAGGAGCGAATGACAGGGAGGCCAGGAACAAAGTAGACCTTATAATGAGAGTATGTGAGATGTGGATGAGGTGGGGGTTTGGGGGGGGTGATTGCAATGGCTTGAAGAGATAACAAACCCAGACTTATAGGTAGATCACCAAAGTGAAATTGTATCTTGAACGTCGTGAAGGGGGGAGGACAGTTAAATATGTATGTATAGCCAGGTGTGATGCAGAGGATCAAGAGCTAAAAAAGAAAGAACGAAAGGAGTTTTTTTCTTCAATAAAATACAGGTTGACGGGGGTGGCAATGCCACCTGATGCACATTGTCTAACCCAAGGATACATGTAATTGAGCAAGACGGCCAAACTACGATGCGGAATAAAATAGATACGTGTTGTAGCCATGCTGGGTGGATGGATCCTAGTATTGGTGGGTCGTTCGCCGCGTAAGCTGTCTTCATCGTTTTTCTACGCTTTGAGGTTCACGGCTCTTCGGCTTGCTGAGGTTGCGAAGAGGACGACGACAACCCGCATTTGCCTCAAGCCCAATGACAAGCAAAATGTGAAATTCGTACCTGGAAGTTGCATGTACTCTATGGTGTTTGTGACATCAGTACATGTACCTATTTAAGTTATACTGCCTAGGAGCTGATTACATCGGAGCTTATGACCGGGGGGAAAAAAACGACCCGAGAGACTGGCAAATTCAGGTAGAGTGTCACCGAAAGTGTAAAAGTTACCCGCGGATCGACCTTGGCTGCATTAGCTGGGTTGTGCCAAGTCGCCAAACAACTGTCAAGCAAAGGGTCAAGCAATAGATACCATACCTTCATGCAACAGCGTCGTTTTTCAAACACAAATACCCCTCAAACAATATGTGCAGAACGCAGGGACTGCAAGAGTACATTGTTCCTATATCAATTAAAAGACGTCCCCGCGTGGCCAAAGTGCGATAGACCGACATATCTGAAATTTCAATGAGGCGATATCTGTGTCCCGATGCTGCATTTTCACATTTATCTAAAGCTACCTTTATGTATCTTTATTGTGTCTTTACATGTATGATAGTACATGTGTATGTAGGTACTTTTGGTTCTATGCGCACATTTACATACCAGAAAAGCGTTTTGTTCCGTGCTGGGGGGCGTGAAAGTATGTACATGTACATACATGTAGGTATAAGGGGCTGAATGTAGATACTTCAAGCATCTTTGCTGAGAGTGAGTTAAATAGAGGAGCTCGAGTACCTTAATATCCCAGATTTTATCATTAGATGGACTAAGATGAGGTAAAATCTGGAGCTCTTTCTTTTTTGGGGAGAGAGGGGCGTTCATAATGTCTTTTGGTTTCCTTTTAACGGTGACCCGCGGCGGAGGATTGAGACAAAGGGGAATTCGAGGTTACGGGTAGATCTTTCAGAATTCCTTGACGCAGAAATCTCCGCAGAAATCTCCGGTACGGAACGGCACGTTGGGAGACTTAGTTGGCTAGTACCGGGAGAGTACAAATTGAGTGTAATGCCGAGAGATGGTAGATGCTGTAGGCCGGAGATCATTAGGGTTGGCGCCAAGTCATGAGTTCAACTTCACGTGCCTACGCGAGAGAGTAATCTAGGGCTAGAAAATCAATTCAATCTGATCGCACGGAGACCCCTTCAACTCAATAAATCCAAGATACATCTCGACTGAAAAAATTCTAATCATGGGTGGGGAATCATCAGCTGGTCATGGCACTGCTACAAATACTTTACCCTCATCTGCTCCTGCTTACGAATTGCCATGGTGAGCTAAGTTCCTAATTCCTAACATTAGTTTTGCGAGACAGCGCATTCGAGATTGCTTCATCCCCACACCAATGTATATTGACTAATTTGGGCGGATTTCAAAGGGTTGAAAAGTATCGACCTATACTACTTGACGATATTGTGGGCAACAATGAGACGATTGAACGTCTCAAGATTATTGCAAAGGATGGGAATATGCCACACGTCATCATCTCTGGGATGCCGGGTATCGGGTTTGTCTATCGGGTCTCTTTAATACTTCCCAATATCTAACTTTAAGCCTAGGAAAACAACTTCAGTGCTTTGTCTCGCTCGCGCATTATTAGGCGATGCCTATAAAGAGGCTGTGCTTGAACTGAACGCGTCTGACGAACGTGGAATCGACGTAGTTCGGAATCGTATAAAGGGATTTGCACAAAAGAAAGTCACCCTACCTGCTGGTCGACAGAAGATCGTTATCCTTGATGAAGCTGATAGGTACTTTGCCGATATTCCGATACCTTTAGGGAAATTAAATTTTATTAACCACCCCGCAGCATGACTGCCGGCGCCCAACAGGCCCTTCGCCGCACAATGGAAATATACTCATCCACTACCCGGTTCGCTTTTGCTTGTAATCAATCCAACAAGATCATTGAACCTCTTCAGTCCCGTTGTGCAATTCTCCGATATTCACGCTTGACAGACCAGCAAGTTCTCAAGCGACTTATGGAAATTTGTGAGGCAGAGAAAGTTGATTATTCAGATGATGGAATCGCAGCCTTGATATTTTCGGCAGAGGGAGACATGAGGCAGGCAATCAACAATTTACAGAGCACTGTGGCAGGCTTTGGGTTTGTGAACGGGGATAATGTGTTCAAAGTAGTTGATTCCCCACATCCAATTGCCGTACAGGCAATGATCAAGGCTTGCAATGAGGGAAAGATTGACTCGGCGCTCGAAAAATTGGAAGAACTATGGGATAAAGGGTATTCAGCTGTTGATATAATTAGTACTATGTTTAGGGTTACCAAGACTATTGATAGTTTGAGTGAACATGCTAAGTTGAACTTCATTAAGGTGGGAACAATACTTCTGTGGTACACGCACTTCACTTCTAACAGCTTGTCAGGAAATTGGGTTTACACATATGCGTATCCTCGAAGGTGTCTCAACCCTTCTACAGCTGAAAGGCTGCGTGGCACGATTATCAAAAATAAATATGCACCCAGAACTTTTTGTTCCTAAATGAACAGAGCAGGGTATTGGACGCATTTTATAAATTCTCTTTACTTCAAATCGAATTATTTTTACCCATATGTGTATGAACAGGGTAATGGGTCGAGAAACGAGAAAAGATGGGATATGCCCAAGAATCAACTGAAGGATGCTAGGGCATTTGGGGACTCTGATAACGTCCACAAAAGGGTGTAGAAACCCCATGCACCTCCAAGTAAGCTCGCAAAGTAAACTCCCGATCTCCATTTAGGGCCATCAACCATGCCCAAGTGAGGAAGACCCATATGATTACAGAATGAGTGGACGGCGATCACCGCCCAAGCGGACCCTGTCCTAAGCAGTATGAATGTTGCAAACCAGCCAAACAATGTGGTGTACGCAAACTGGATTAAAGAGCGCGCGATAGTGAGAAAGAGAGAGTTGGGGTGGCTCAAGTAAAACTCATAGCCATGATGGATATGCGCTGCATTAAAAGGAAAGTCAGGAAACTAGCATCCTTACAGGGAAGGGCTAGGGCAAACCTATTCCAAAATATAGTGGAGATAAAAATACTACAGAGATAGGCGATTTCCCTGCTATCAGATGCAGTGGGGCCAAACATGACCGGAACACAATTTCTTCAGTGAAAGGCGCCTGACGACCAAATAAAAAACGGTTAATCCCAGCTCGCTGAAAATAAAGCGAGCGGTTAAGCTCGTTAAGCTTTCAAAGAGGCCCCAAAGGGCATGACCTACAGCTACAAAATTTCTCCAGCCTGTCCAGGTGTAGAACATCTTCTGCAGATCAGATTTAACCTCCCCCCAACCATAGTCGACTACATCAAACCATAGCCGCTGCGCGAGTGGACCCGTGAATAGAATTGCGGTGAGAAGCAAAGATCTAAAAACGTCGAGGATAGATGTTGGTGTCGGCGATAATAAGCCTAAGAAGGAGAGAACTTCGGACAATGCTCGTCTCGGCGTTGTCAAAGCAGTGATGATGGATGTAACTGCCAGGGCTGCGATAGTGACAACTGTTACAGCGCGGATCCGGATCCGTATTACGGAGGGAGAATCGCGGTTAAGAGATGGATCAGGGCGCGAGAGGGGGCTAAGGTAAAGAACACCGACATAGCTTATTGTGTATATGATTGAGATGAGGCTGGCATAGAGGGGTGTGAATCGAGGAAATTCCTCTGGAGTGTACACCATGATCATGGAAGTGTGTTGTGGTTGTTGAGTTTGGATTCAGAGACCTTTTGCTGCTGGGCACACAGGGGCGCTAAGTCAACATGGTGTGTCCCTGGCGATCAGTGCTGATGTTTTGACCTAACAACGACTGCCGGGTCCCTATCTAGAAACGTTGGAGGAAACATACAATATTGGTATAAAGTGCTGATTGAAGCCCATAAGCCCTGGTAATTGTTAAATATTTTTCCAAGACCTTAAGTTTCAGTAGAAGGATACATGTTTAATTGTAGGTTATAATTAGGTGATAATTTCGATCAAAGAGAAAATCAAATACCATCCATCTGATTAGGTGCTGGTCGAATTACCACAGAAATCACAGGCTGGTTTAAAGATATACAAACAATTGGATGAATGGTTAAGCAGTACTCCGGCACGAAGCGATTTATCATGATAATACATGTATATGTTCTGCCGGATAGGCGGGATTTTCCAGTTCATGAACTAGGCGCCTGGTTGAGTTGATTTCCCCGATAGGATGATAAGTTCGTGAACTGGATAGCTTTTCTGAACAAGGCACGGTTGGGAAAGTATGAACTTTAATCAACCTTATTTTTAATTCTCTAAGGCTATCGCCATATATATACTCATTCATTAAGTAATGAGAATTCTTGTTAGTAGCGAACTCACGGTTTTATTTTAAAATATCAAGAAGTAATTGAATATATACAGTACTTAATCGAATTAACATAATTATATAATATCAATCAAATTAATGAGCTCGAGTACTATGATCTGCCAGGAGGAATATTTTGGGCTGGGGCTTCTTATGCGGATTTACCCTCCGAATGGGGCAAATTTAACCCGTTCAAATTTTGTATGGTGCATCTGAGCAGGATGATCCATTGGGAAAATTTACTGAACCGGGCATCCAGTTTGTGAACCGGAGGGTTTCGCCTATTGGGCAGAACATTAATACCAAAGTTATGTACTCGTATACCAGGGTAAGAACCAAAAAATGCAAGTGACGGAAACTGTAATGATTTGTATGAGAGATCACCGCTACCCCATACAAATAATCCTTGCCCTGAGCAACTGCATTTTCTGGTTCTTTTCGTGGTAAACGAGTACTTGCTTACAAGCATATGAACCAGAAAATGCAAATGTCTATTTTGTACGGCAGATCCGCGCCACTCCATACAAATAATCCTTGACTCTCGAACTCGCATTTTCTGGTTCATATGCTGGTAAGCAAGTACTTATGTAAACACTTGATAGGGCTGGACTACGTAAAGCTCTGCAATACAGGGATGATATAATAATACACTGCTTATAGCTTAGGCTCTGTTCGGACGGTGTCAATGCCATGGTATTCACCCCCAGTAAGTCAGTGTAGTATTCGAGCCCAAATTATTGGTTTTGATACAAATACCTCTGGAGGTATTTATTTCCCGTTATATGTCTACTTAACAATACCTTAACTTCATCCGAATACTTTTGTCTTTGGCGAATAGACGGCTTCCCTAGCCACCCGAACACCCCCCCCCCCACCCAAACAGTTGAGTATGATTGGTACAGCGGTGGGTAATAAGTCATCGGACGACCTAGCCACAATTTTGCTTGCAAACGCGGATTTTGGTGGCGTTCCGTCTGATGACTTATTACCCATCGCTGTACAGAAATCGGTTACAACGAAGATCCTTTCTTTTTGACGTTGACTGTTCAGTGTTCGGGTGACTAGGGAAGCCGTCTATTTGATTTTATCTGAAAGCATGCAACTGAATTTACCATAGTATTAAATACCACGTCCGTCCGAACAAAGTCTACCACCCAATATTATATTCTTCCAACGCCACAAACGCCGAGATTCAAGTAAGATTGAGCCACCCAATAAATACAAGTGATTTAATGGACACAAGTAGGCCGGGGGTGAGCTCGATCCCATCCACAAACTTCTTGTTGCGCTAACTTTCACAGAAAGTCTTGGCACAGCAACTACAAAATACAGTACGTTACGGGCCAAATCATGATAAAAAGCCACAAACCTAGAAGGACAGCGCCACAGACGCGTCCGGGTAACGAGACACCACTACAGCTCCTCAAGTATGTGCCTACATACATAACTACATTTTTTAATTATCAGAGTTCACCAAGCGTGAACCGGCTTTTGCCTTCGTGAAGAATTGGAGGAATTCCCCGAAGTGCATCCACGCTTAGGTACCGTGTCCGTAGGCCTTTGGCGCCCTGCGAGTCAGAACCCATGGTTAGAACAATTAAATAAAGTATTTTAGCCCTCTCACCCATATAACGCAATGATCTATATATGTATAGCACAATATAGGCCGAATATCTGAATTGTATGTAGTTCGGCTGTCGATACATGTACTACGCCTGTGACGGTAAGTCTGTAGACAGGTGGCGGTGCATTGGGGGACGATCTCTGAACATTTGCTTGTGTGTCACCGCCACCTGTCTACAGACTTACCGTCACAGGCGTAGTACTACGGGTGCCGGGGTAAGTCTGTAGACAGGTGGCGGTGCATAGGGAGGAGATTCCTTAATATTTGTTTGTGTGTCACCGCCACCTGTCTACAGACTTACCCCGGCACCCGTAGTACATACCTACCACCGGATGTGCCAAGACCTTACGAATATGGATGTTGGTGCCATCCCAATGTAGTAGACTTTACTTGGTAGGTGCCTACCCGCTACATCGCCAATTTTATCGTGCACGGGGCAAGCGCAAGGGCGAATCGGTACACAGCTGTGTTTCAGGATCTCAGGGATATGTCTGATGCAACGTTCTGTCAGGGCCATGCTCAAATTGGGGAAACGCCCCCAGGAACAGTCTACCTTAGAGTCTAGTGATGCATTATACATACAACATACCAGGGGTCGGGAATGCGAGTGTCGATAGAACAGCTCAGAGATTCAGACGGAAGCGGAAAATCTACACCCCATTAGCCTAGAATGCGCTAGGTAAGTGGTATCCTAGGTAGATAAGTTTAGAGCTGCGGGTTCTTCTCTGCATTAACCACTCATGACAATCACAGCAACGACTCTGGAGTGTGCCGGCACGCACAGAAAGCATGCTGCTGAGAACGAGAGTGAGAGAAAAAGAATAAACTCTAGATACGTACCGTTCCTGCAGATTGCTTATATGTCAGGCTAAATATTCCTAGCAGTAAGAGGAGTAGATTGCAGAAATAGGGGTGGTAAACAAAACAAAGCGCTTCTCAGGCATGCGCACTCGTTTAACCTTTTCTCTCTCTTTCTCGCACACTCACTCACCTCACTCTCCCTCACTCGTTCCCTCCCCACAATCTTTCCTTGGGTTCAATCCCTCCACACTCTTTTATCTGAACCACTTGGCCCATTCCCCTCTTTGGCTCGGTTTCTCCACTTAATTTGACGTTTACGCTCCGTTGTCTGTCCTTCCTTGGTGCCTTAATTTTTTGTTCTGATTCTTCGGTTTACATCGAAGAGTTTTGTATTTTTGTTTCTTACTATTATTTATCAGTTGTTTTGCCGCCACATATTCTATCGCATCTTTTTTATATCCTTATATTTTTGTCGCTTTTGCTGCGTTACGGCTTATCCAGCATCTGACACATCTCTTCGGCTTTACCTAGAGCCGGAATTTACCATTGTCTCTTGCTTGCTCTATGGTCAAAGAACAATCAAGTCGGAGAGCTTAAGGGATCTCGAGTTTTTATGGAAATGAACAACCGTCGTCGCGCTGCCCTCCACCAGCGCTCCGATTCCGAAACGAACGAAGTCCGGACAAATCCTTCTATTCACAGCAATAATTCGTCAGTTTCACACAAAGCAACTGACGTTTCAGCATGGGTCCCTCATCCAGTTGCAGCCTCCATATCGAGGGACAGCACACGCTCGAGTTCGCACACTGCAAGTACAAACAGTAGCCGTGGACCTTCTGGTTCCATAGATAGTTTACCTCCAGTACCTCCCTTGAAGATCTACAAAAGGGAATCTGCCTTTATTGTGTCCCGAGATCCACCAAGCGTTGTAATCGGGGAGTCTCAGAACCCAGACACACTGGCCAGTGGCTCGATTCCAGCCCCTAATACAACAACGCCCCCAAAAGTGCAGACATTTCCAAAGTCCATCCTAAAAAAGCCTTCTCGGCCCGCGCTGCCTCCATATACAGTGGAAGAATACAACGAAAAATCAAATTCATGGATAGCAAACAGTGCCCAAAGCCCAACAAGCTCAGAAGGATCTAGAATGAATTCCCACACACTCAGGATAGTAGGGAGCAGCGAGGACAGTAACGATGAAAGTAGTGAACAAGGCGATATACTCGGGGGGCTTGTCAATCGTCAGCGCCCCGTCACTATATCTCCGAGAGTTACCCCGTCACCGCGATTGGGTGAGTCGAGCGCTCAAGGTGCACGCATGGTTCACCCACAACCTGCCCCAGTGCGCTCTCGAAGTAATGCCTCTATGGAACGCCCTGGCACTGCTGGTTCTCTTCTCGCCTCAGCCAAACAACTTCCGGCATGGGCAAGGTACGTTCCTGCGCTTCTTATTTGCGAACTGTTGGACAATCTAGCACATGTTGCTTACACGGCCTTGTCTCCAGGTATTTCTATAGCAAGAAGGGAGGACGAGGAAGTATTATTGAGCCCGAAATGCCCAGGTACGGAAATGAAGACACAGCAGAGCACAAAATCAGACATCAACAAAGCGATGATTCAATGCAGATAACAGAAGTCATCCCGCCAGGTACATTATATCAAGGTCAAAGGCAATGGGGCTCTTCTGAGAGTGTTCCTGGCGTGGACTGGGTGGGGTCCAGAACCAAAATTATGGACGCCGAAATCGCGACTCAGTGGTCAACACCACACCTAGATCACACACCGCTGTCCAGGTTTGAGACCATCGACCGCCAACTTGTAATGTTTTGCCTGGGATTTCTTCTACCAGTATGCTGGATAATTGCTGCATTCCTTCCGCTGCCAGAGGTACACGGACGCAACTACAAGCAACCCATTCAAATCGTTGACCAACCATCCCATTATATTGTCGATGCGGAGGCTGGATCAAATAATACTGTAAAACAACAACGAAAGTATGAGAACGCGAAATGGTGGCGAACCGTAAATCGAACAATGTCCGTTGTTGGACTACTCGTTATCGGTGCCATAATTGCACTATGTGTTCTTGCTGCAACACGGGGTGTTTAGTTGCATGCAATGCCCATTCCTCTCACGGATTTCTTTCGGTGTTGCCTTAGCTGGCTCTGGGTGGTATTTTTCCTTTCTTTCTATTCTCTACTTGCATTATTGATAAAACCCTTGCCCTCTTATGTTTCTCATGAATTCAATGACTGTTACGTCGTGTCCCCTGCAATAATAATGGAACAGGGCATGGTGTTTTAAGATACCATAGGTGACGAAGTTACATGTGTTGCGGAATACTGTAATGCATTATATACTTGTTTTCACTCTCCGTAATGTTCTATACCCCTTTGATGACACTTTATATATAAGGTATTGTTCTTTCTTTCTTGATTTTGACTATCTGCAAATTATCTTCTTGTTGATACGTTATTATATGTACACCCCCTTATTTTGAGTTTTTTCTTTCTTCTTTCTTCTTTTACGGAAGAGAGTATCTAGTATGATCGATAATTACTGTGGTTAGGATTCGGTTATATTGAGCGGAAAAGACGGTGAATTTATGAATCGATGGATATTGAGGGCGATAAGTTGGGGGATGAATGGAAGGGATGAACAAAGTTTGGCATGACTCCTTTTGGAATAGGGAGAAAAGTCGGAAACGTTTAGGTGTGATGTGATGGATTCAAGATTTTGATATGAGGTTTGGAACGTAACATGGTTGATTTTGGTTGCTCGGGTTAAAATACTAAGGGTTGCTGGATGTGTAAAGTTTGGTACAAATCATCTATTGATTAATTTCCCGTTTTGAATTCAAGATATCCTTTAAACATTTAAAGGTTAAATATCTCATCCACGCCTCAATTTATCGATTTGGGCATTTACTTTGAATCAGCCCTCCCCCCTGTCTTGTCGTTTCTTTGATATTAGTGGATGACTTCCTGTAGTCATTCTGAATCCAGTCAGGAGATATTTGAAAGATGGTTTTCTAACCCATAAGCGGACCATTAGTCTCATTTCCAGCAGGGTGATACCCAGCCTACAGATGTATTGATGTCGAAGAATGGAATAGAGAGGGTGGAATGTCGCTTATTTTTCGAGAAATCGTTCTGAAGTATTTAGACTATATATTTGAGGAGGGGGTTTGGGGGCCTCCCCAGATTATATATTCCTCTAAGATCTGGAGAGTGAAGTTGTCATTCAAATCGCTATCTGAATATATTCTGGTGGGTCTAGATACACTCAGAATGACTACGGGGAGTCATCCGGTTTCACTCCAGATACACAGTCTGGGGAGAGATTTCTGGATTCTATCTTTTTAAAACACTGGGGATTAAGGGTATCATTTAGATTGTTTTCTAGATAAAGTCGGAATTCTTACGGAAAGCCGTGTACTTCATAAATCACTACTTCCCGTAGTCGTTCTACGTAGTTAGAACAAGCTCTAGAATTTGAACGCTAGTTTATGATGTGGAGAGTGTTAATAACTACATATATGTCATGGGTTTCCACTGGTTTTCAGGTTTGAGAGGTTGCATACTTGCATAGATCAGATTCGCGCTTCAAATATAGTCCTGAATGCTTCAGACAGCCTGGGGATGGCGGTGGGGGCCGCCCCAGATTCTATCTTTTCGAAAATTAATTATGGGGTCATTATCTGGCTGGTTTAGATGCGTTGAGAACGGCTACGGGAAGTCGTCCGCTGTCTATTGATTCTTGAATGAGTGATGCATTCCGACCGCAGCGGGTTACCCACAGAAAAACGAGTAAGGAAGGAACTGCTTTCCTTCTCAAGTCTTGATTGAGAAGAAATGGGCTTTATTCTTCGCACTAATGTATACGGAATACAATGATCTTCCTCAACAGCCACCTATCACGTGTCCAACAATCGAGGGAATATCATAAAATGAACTTTTATATATTCACCCCTGATAGCAGACTGTATCTAGTCGCCGCAGTTTATTGATTAAGAATATCGATCCCAAACACTCTTGCCGAAGTAACTATCGAACAGGCTGATCTCTATTCCTTTCCTCTCGAACATCGTCTTTTAGGCCCTGCCGCCCATGTGGTCTAGCTGCTTCACGATCGTCTTCTGGGAGTCGATAAATCGATTGACGCAATTCTCCAGGCAAGAATTTTCACCTTTGTCGATTGCCGTGCCAGTAATTTTGGACGTCATACATTTGGACCAACACATGTCGGTCAAATTGTGGACATCTATTGGACCGTTTAGAAAGGGTTCAGGTATAGGTCTTTAATTATGGACAAGGAATTTCAAACTGGAAAGATTTCATTGGGAATTTACTTGTCTGAAACTTTGATTTCTGTTGTTCGTTCTCGATGAATTGTTGCAACTCTTTGCGGTCCTTATCACTGAAATCGGACATGCTAGACGCTGCCTGGGAATCCATTATATCGAGAGATGATTGGACGAGTAGTGAGGGTGATATTGATGGCGAATTTAGTATGTTATGAAGAGGATTGCCGAATTGTTAACCGTGGGACTTGTTAGGGTTGAGTTTTAACGCAATGTTTTTCTCAGCATGAGGTTCACTACGCCAAGATGCTACTAAACATTACATTATACATGTATTTCACTTGCCAAGCCACATCATCCTAGCCAGTAGAGCGAGTGACCTAAAATGATGCAGCTGGTAAAATGATTGTAGGTAAGGCTCAAGAAATTAATAAATGAACTTATCTGAAGATCTAAGTGGATCACTGCATTTAATGCAGGGGTTTGCCCTACCTACTGCCTCAGAATTCACTACATGTACCCGGGTGTCGGGGAATGATGCACATTGGGTGATATCTCAACCACGAGAGAATTAGTCTTTAGACAAGTCTATCTTGAGGTCAATTCAAGTGTGTAGATTCCTTTCATAAGAAAAATAAATAAAAAAGGTCTGTCATCGATACTTTTTGGTTGTTTTACCACTGATTTTGGCTACCGGATAGTACTAGACTTCTTGCTTGAAGAATAACTATTTTGTATTCAATTAACACCAAATGAATTCTTAGCCATTGTAGAGACACTCTACACTCGAAATTTGAATTTAGGGAGCGTGTTGCGTTGCGCCAAAATATAGGTATTTGGGGTACCTTACCGTCGAAACGCATACAATTTTGAGCCTTATTCAGTCCGCTTTATCAGTACAAAAATCCTTTTTTAAACCTTATTTCATCCTTAAAACATGCTTAAATAATACTTATTTGAACCTTATTGTATTCATAAGGCTATTGTGAGCCTATGTTCTGGATAAGCCGACTGAATAAGGCTCAAAATTGTATGCGTTTCGACGGTAAGGTAATTGGCCGTTGTCAAACCAAATGTGCATCACTTTCCAACACCGTGACCCTGGGTACATGTATATACATGTAGTACATGTAATTTTTAGAATGTATCGGTACTACATGTATGTACGTACCTCGTGTCTTATTAAATACAATGTACATGATTCTAGGAGGTAAATTATTTTTCAGCGAATACTTTCATATACATGTATGTATTATAATGTTCAAGTTGGCATTCGTTACTACATCATGTACTAAATATAAGTACAGTCGGGGTACAGAAGTTTTGGTAAATTTTGGTTGCCGTTGCAACATGGGAACACTATACAAAATCAGAAACACTCAAATCATGACTTTAAAAATTAGATCGCACACACCTGAAGAATGGACTTAAAATTCTAGAATTCTCTGTGCTCTGCCTTGAGATAATTTTCAACTGTCCTTGAAACTTTGAAATTTTTTGGATGAGGCTGGGTGGTTGCTTCGGGTAGCTAAACATGGCTACTTTGGCTGGAAAAAGGGTATATTACCAAAACTTCTGTCCTAGTACTACATGTATAGATGGATGGATGTAGTATTCCTTGAACATATATGTACTTACGTACATATAATGTTATGTTTAAAATGCATACACATATCTAGTATACTTTTTAGTACCGAATCATTATTTTATCTGAATTAGTGTTCTGCTTAATTTTTTACGTAAGTATGCCCACCCTTCAAAGAATGCGTGCAATTAATGAACAAAACGAAGCGAAAAAACGCCCCTCAAAGAAGGGTCATGTGCATCTGAAAATCGAAGCGATATACCTTATAAAACTATTTGACCAATACAGTAAGATTAGAATGAATCGGCCTCTGTACAAGTATAAAGCCGCGTTCTACGGGTTCCAGTGTATTTCTTTTAAGGGAGGTACATCACTGCTCGGGAGTGTCATGTGATATATCAATAACAAATAAAAAGTGGCAGTGCATATTGAATTTAATATTTCAAGCCTCAACTTCCGCCGCATTACTAATATAGGCGAGTGGAAGTCATTGAGCAAGATCTTCCGTGAGAACTGTAACCCCCCACTTCATCTCCCGTAAAAACCGCCCTTTTCGATTAAGCCCTTGATTCCTGTAGTTGCAATGAGTGGATTGCATTTATATTTTTTTTTAGAATAATAATGGAAGCAAATCTCTGCCGATCTAGCTAAATACACACCTCCAATTTAGGGTAGAAGAGTGAACAAACCACACTCCTTATATCAGCAACAAATTTCTGGTTGTCCGGTTTCCAGTACTCGCGTTCTCGTTCCATCACAAATTACTATTACCCACCAAGAGTGTCCTTTTCCAACAAAACCAAAGAAACAATTAAGATGTCCGCTTCCATCCAGTGAATATGCCAAAGTTGCCAAACAAAAAGTTCCAAGACGCAATAGCGTCATGTAAAAGAAAAACCGAGACTTCAATGTCTCTAGGTTTCACAAAGAGAAGGTTCTTTACTTTTAACGGTCCTAGTCTCGCTTCCTCCAAATGCCTTTACCATTGGTGGACATCTTTGGTGCAAAAAGACCTTACAAATTGTTAGATGTTTTCCTCAGATATGAAAGCGATATCTCGCCTGTACTTGCCAATCTGCTGAGCTGCCGAGATGCTACGGCATTTTTTCAAAATATTGTTCGCTGGAGGAAACTCCTTTTCAGCACCTAAAATAAAATATTGTCAGGAAACCGCCCTGTCTCCTGATCAAGAAAGACCATACCTGTGAGTGGGCCCGAGGAGTGAAACAGCTAAACAATGGCAGTATATAAACATTAGTAACGAGTTCTTGAGGTCTTTTAAAACCTTAGCCTACCTTGGGTCTGTACGAAGGATCTTGATCCATAACTGAGCTATTACGGAACTTTTCAACAAGTTGATCGATCCCCTGAATATCTGTAACTGTAGTTAGTGCCCGACCCCGATAATTACTGATTAAATAAGCATAAACTTACTCGCGTACGTAACATCAAGAACCTTCTCCGAGTTGAATTTATTCCTAAATTATATTAGCTGTAAAAGATCTGAACACAACAGCCTTGCACTACTAACCATCTCGTGCCAGATTTTGCTTTCACAAACTGTTGAAGGTCAGCCAAATTTTATCACATCAAAATGGTCTAAACCTGTTGGAACCAACATCAATAATATCAAGAGGCTTAGTCATTGACTACAGTCAGCTTTTTGCCTGTAATAATTAGGATCACTTTAGATATCTCACATCAATAAAGTTGATAAAGGCATAGCCGACACTATTTGTGTATCTCATTAGAAAGGCTCAGGATAAAAGGCAAAAAATATCGATTTCAAGGACCTACTTGCAGATGTTTCTAAAATCTAGGAATGCGTAAGCAACGACGGTCTAAAAATGATAGGTTATAAATTTACTCACCTATTCTCAGATATAAGAAATTGTAGAGACCCTTACTGGTCGTGTCGACATAGTCTTTCAGTGTTTGCTGAAATACAAGATCAGCCAAGGTTAATGGTGGTGGCATTACTGCCGGGGGCATACATACCTGATCAACTTTATTTGGGATGTTCCTCAGCATGACCTAATATAGTGAGTAAACTTAGGCATTGACTTTCGAAGTATTCCTATCGCACCGTGGTTCTGGTATCAAGACCGCGCGCAATACGCTCCAAATCAATTACATTCTTCCCCGGAACTTGAACTTGACCATGCAACCTTTCGTTTGACTTTGGTGATATTTCATTGCCAAAGAGTGGGTATGGACATGTAGGAGAAGCTGATACTGTGGGATCCTTTATTTTTATGTCTGGTACATGGGATTTGTTGGATGGAAGATATGAAAACGAATCTTGAAATTGACCACTATCAGTCCGGAAGTTATCTGGGGTGCGCCTATAACTTGGTTTTAAACCAAGTGGAGTAAGCCCGGATCTCTTGGGAGTGACATAACCACCAGAATATACTGCTTCGAAGTATTTCTCGCCTTCTCGATCCGCACCATATCTGCTATCGACAGAACTGCTAGAGTCACGTCGACAAGTGAAATCAATAGACGGGTGACTAGACTTAGGACTATATACTCCAACATCTGTATCCTGCGAAGATACGATATGCACACGGCCGTTTTCATCCGTTCGAGTACGAAGCGCGCTGAATCCAGGGTTCCAGGCGAGAATATCGGGATCGTAAAAACTCAATTTAAGTCGGAAACCCTATTGAAAAGTAAGATTGATAGCTATATATCGAAGAAATAGATCAGCTTACCTCGACATATTGCCCGTCGAGAGTATCAATGATGTCAAACGCATCATGTGTGTCGAAGAAAGTGACCAAGAACGCCGGAGGACTACTGTTTTCAAGTGCCGTAAACTTGGAGATGGAGCCAAAGTCGGAAAGAACATAGTATAGAATGCGGCGGACATTACTCGAGCAACCACCAGAGGTAACTATACACATAATATCTGACTGATTGTCGATCTCTCGTCCTGAGAGGTTACTGCCAATTACAAGCTTCTGGTGCGTTAGCAGTATGCCCGGAAACGCACACACACCGGGTACACACCATAGTGACATATCCACTAGGGCAAAACTGTATCGATAGAGGGTGTTCGGCTTGAAGTTTGCGGTAAGCAGTCATCGAGTCGCGGATATCGAAGTAGGAAACCACACAAAATCCGTCGAGATGAAGTTTCTGGGTGTAAAACTCTTGGATATCGCCAAATTCCTGACAAACTGTGAATTTTGATTTCTCAAGCTGCAACGAGCACAATGACGTACCTGTAAAGTTTCATAAAGAATGACGAGGGAGGTTGCCGGAGCAATATTACAGATTTTTAGGTGACGGGTGGACGCAGCTGATAGCTCATTTTGATCCATACTCCAATCTGATTGGTATTTGTTGGAAGTGAGGCACATATCGCTTAGTACCCGAGAGGAGTGTAATTGACCCCCTGAGTCGGTATTTTCGAGATAGTAGCGGAATATTTCAGAGTTTGGAGAGGACTTATCCGTGACCGCAGCGAAGCATTCGACACTGTTCTCGTTTGGACAATGTTGTATTCCTTGAGCTCCAGCAAGGTCAAACGTACAGTCTCTAGGCAGGTTATGTTGAGTCGCCGTTCCATGGGACGATTTATGTGAGTGAAACTGTACATTAGGTGGGATAGGTGATGGGGATTCAAGTAGCCGTGAAGGGAGTGCTTTCCACTCAGCATAAAAGTCATCACCTGGGGAAAGACGGAGGTGTGATGGCGTGTTCAGGTTGAAATACCCGTCATAAGGTCCAGTTTCGGGAGTATCGGGAGTACTTTTGCTTTCCAGAGATCCAGAATAGAGAGACCCAGGTGAAGCCATGATGAGTGTTATACTTTATTTCTTGCCAATAGCTCAGTGGAGAATGAGCGAACAAAACGCCAAGAATAGCGTATTTGTCAGGGTCTATTGGGTTGGAGTAGCGAGGTGTAAGAGGTAGAAGTAGCGTGAGACAGGAGGAGAGATAAAGAGGAAGAACGGGAGGATAGAGGAAGTGGTTAGTGGCCGTAGTGGCGGCGGTGGTGATAGGTTGTATAGGAAGATAGGCGGTACATACAGTACATGTAGCGGGAGTTAGAAAGGGTATGGCAAGAAATGGGAAACACTACATGTAGTGGGAAAATGTATGACGGAGGTGGGTATCGAATTACATGTATATAATGTATTATATGTACTACAGTACATGCGCATGTATGTACATATACATGTAGTTTATCAGCGTTGGAGGTGATGAATGTGACGAGTGATCTCTGGTGCCGGAAGAATGTTCGGCGAAATCCTTGCCAATTGAATTCATCAGTCGGCTTCAGCAGTAGATCGTAAGAAAAATAACATAGTATGAAAGTTCAGGTGCCCGTGTTATACATGAAAAGCGTTACTACATGTGGTACACGTATTATTCCATATTGCTAGATACATGTACTACTATAGCTACATGTATGTACATACTTATACATCGTCCCGCACCTCTACAATATTTCAGAAAACATGAATCGAGAACGTCCAAAATGATTGGAGTGTACATACATGTAGTAATACCCGTACGGTGATAACACGTACGTGTAAATTTATATCCTGTACTAGTATGCCTGGTATCCGGTGATCAATTTCCAGCACAGAGAGGCACATATGATGTCTTGTAAGTGATAGATACTATTACAGTACTGGATGTGCGCAACTAGAAATATGTGGAATTATGGGAAGCTACATTTAGTACATGTATTTACAATGTTTGTGACTAAACAAAGGAAGATATCCGGTTACAAATACAATGAGAGCTGAGCAGAGGTTTATCCCAAGTGAGAATGGTATTTGAAATGAATTAAGGATACATCACGACCTTGTCAGGAATTTCTCGATTGTGAACTACACGTATATCCCTCCTATTGTAAACCAGCGGCCACACAATTTTACTATATCCATACGTCGAATACAAGCATTCTAGATTTCTTCCCTACATGTACTCGCGCGTTAATTAAGTCCTGAGAAATTTTGTGAGGTCGTTGCTACCAAGAATTCTCAGAACTTAATTAACGCATGAGCAGTATGTATGTAGTACAAGGTGCGTCTTATATACATGTAGCAACGGCAGAGTTCACGTATGGCTTGGCGCACAAATACTCACTCGACCCACTAACGACCAGCGGCGCCTAATTCGTCGTTTCTCTTGGCATTAATTGAAGCTCCTAGCTAATAAATATTTCGACAAGGATATATGATATACTACAGCCAACTCTCCCTATAAGTATGAGGGTAGTCTATTTACAAAGGATTAGTGCTCGGTTTATATCGGGCTTCGTATATACAAATTTAACGTGACAGACTTCACGCTACTTTTGCGCCACCGTTATAGGGAAAGTCGACTACGCCGGGACTTCAGCAATAATCTGATAGGCCTCTTAAATCTCGCCCCTACCTAGGTACCTGTTGTCCTGAACATGTGTGCTCGTGGCTCAACCCCTCTAGGGATGAAATTCGTGCTAAATGTTCGATCTAGCAATCTGGCTACGTAGAAATAATGCAGGAAACGCCAAAGGGGGACTACATATAAGTAAGTTAAACCTCAGCCGAGGGCGTTCCGGAACTGATATATATCAAGATCAGGTACCCCTTGGCCGTCCAAGCCAAATCCCAATATGTCACCGAATTAACCGAAGAACCTTGTTATATTGTAGTTACTGTTCACCGCTCATTACATAAAGCTAGTTGATTGCATCTCTTCAATTTGTCTGGCAGATTGACCATTTTCAGTGGGGGTCGAAAGACCTAAAAAGAATGAGAAAGGCTAGGCGCATGTCTCAGAGAATTGAGTAACCTACGAGTATGGTTCCGGTCACATCCAAAAAAAGCTCACCCGGCTCAAATATATCCTTCCCTTCGAAAATAAGAGTCAAATTTTGGACAGAAAATCTGTAGGTAATCACCAGTACTACGTATTCTCAGTTTTCGATTCCTCGATCTGCAGTTTGTGAAAGAGTAGATACGGTTCAAAAACCTAGGACCTTCCAGCCTAATGGTGGTGGTGAAAAAACACCCAGATAACCTATTTAAACGTCACCAAACCAGCTAACTACGTAACTAAACCATTTACTGAGGCCGAAAACCACAATATATCTATTGGTATATCGTTTTTCCCCTTGGCCAATGGCAAGAATGTTGATTTATCGCGACTAGAACTATCGCTTGGGCGGATGAATTTTGTCAAATTCGCGACCTGGACTGTGCACCAAGCAAGTACTAACCATTTTTGGAAGTCATGTGATATCAGATTTCGTGGAGTAACTGTTGCGGACCGACTGAGGGTTGAGGAAGTATTGCGGGTAGAGGAACTGTTGCGGGTTGAGGAACTGGTACGGGTTGACGAACTATTGCGAGTAGTTAGTAGGGAGTAGTTAGTTACGAGGAGAGGTACTGTTAGAGGTAGTTGCGGGTAGAGGTATTATTGCGAGCAGATGTACTATTGCAAGCAGATGTACTATTACGAGCATTAATATTCTACAAAGCATGCTCAGCACAGGACCAAATTGCAGAGACTACAGGAAAAGTAAGACGTAGGGGCACGCTTTCTCTTCATCCCTTCTCTTCTAAATCTGAACCTGCATCGTTCGCATTCCTTTCTGTTTGGTATACGAACCTGTATATGATCCAGTGGGGAACCTGTGAGGGATGCGTACCAGACCACAAGAGTACACTATGTAATGGGGACAGTCTTTCCACGTATCGCTAGAACCTGATAGAGAGATGTGGCCATGCAAGATAGAAATTAGGTTTAGATTATTCAAAGATTTATCACTAGAACTCAATAATCTGTAAGGGCTCTGCTACCGAGTAGAATATACTTGATAACTCTGATGAGGACTGGAGAGATTGGATAGTTGCGCGGGAAGGGTCCCGAGTACTTATACTCCAAAGGACTCCGTTCTCTGTTCATCAGCAAACCTGTAGCCTTCGCCAGACGCCCGGGGCGCTCAGGGCGCTCAGGGCGCTCGGTAGGTAAACTACCTCTCCAGAGATACCGCCAGTGCTCCTGGCGAGGTCTGGCGAACATTATTCCGCCCCGGGGCACACTAGTCCGCACAACGGGCCCCGACACTAAATAATAGCGCCCGGTGTAACTAGGATGTCACTCTACCCGCTAGAGAACGCCAGTTGCGCGGTTGGATATCCTGACTGCTCCTGGAGCACTCTTCACTGCTCCAGCTGGCTCTGGGGATAGAATGATTGCCCTGACTCCCCCTGACGTTGCCGGATGGGGTGCTTTGAAATCTGGCTCATGCCCGACGTACCGATTCCTACATGTCGGCGCCCCGTTCTCTCTAGGCATACACCTCTCCGCCGTTCCGGCCTCTGGTATTCACAATTCCCCCATGAGATTACAAAAACATCACTCGCACGACGATCTCTACTGTCTCCAGAGCACTCGCGACTGCACTTTGAGAATTGGTGTATTCAACACCGTGATCCTCCGCCTAATACTAAATACAATACGCCATTTAACACCCTAACTAACCCTAATACAATATACGAATCAGAAGAAATCCCCCACTACCTCCCTTAGCACTCGTGATTGTTCTACACATCCTCCTCCCCCCCCCCTTCGTAATCCCCCGCTACAGGTAATTCCGGCTCTTTTTCTTCCTCCTCCCCCTCCTATTCGGTGTCAATGCCGCGAAGTCGGGCATTAATCACTTCGTCCTGGGCGCTGTCGGAATCAACCCGACCTCCTGGAGCACTCGTGGGTGTTCTCCGAGCATTTCGGAATGCGGCAAGATCCGCAGCCAGAGCTTCATCGTCCTCACTAAAACCCTCCTCCGGTATAATCTCAATCGTTACCCCTTTTTTATCTCGTATCTATTAGGGTTAGCATTTAGAATACCACTCGCATTACCGGCATCTAGAAGTATCATACCTTTTCTCGAAGGTTATCTTTGATTACCTCCAAGGTTGCCTCCTGGTTCTGTTTACTTCTCCCCTTCCAAGTGTTGCTCATCCTGTTGAACGTTTCTACTCGTGTTTGGATGTTATCTTGGCAATCCCGTATAGCCCTAGGAGCATCCGTCATTGCTCCCAAGGCACTCGCCATATCAATGAGGGCATCGGGCCATACTTACTCACAACACTCTCATTCTGCGACTGAAAATTATCAGGCTTCACGTAACTCCCTGTTGACCACGCCCGAATGCCGTGCCAGATCGCCGTCGATATCAGGCAAATAAGGGTAGGGGTTATCCGCTCTAGAAATTCGGGATCCCTAACCCCTCGCATTCTTACCCCATCGAAGTATTTAAAATACAATATATCGATAATTTCCGGAGCCAGGAAGCGCAGTCGGTAGGTCTAGAATCTGTTACCGGCTATCCTGAGTGCTCTCTGGGCATCCACTGGCATCATACCTCGTAATGCTGTTGGGGGCTCAAGAAACGATCATTCTTCAAAAGGTATTCCACTTGAGCCGCCCTCGCCTCAGGCCCCACAAAATTTCCAAGCCCGTATATCGTAGAGTCCGCCAGGCGCCCTTTCACCTCGTGCATCAAGTGGGAACGGATACGGGAGTGCAGACTTCTGACCTATCATCCTCAATTATGCTTCCAGAGCACTCGTAATCCTTTTGGGGGCACTCACCTGTTTAATAACGACCTCATCAAGGTCTACTCTACACCCCACTCGGCGACTAGCAGTTGCCCACATGCTCACTACCAGTACCAAAAGTCTTGCTGCAGGTGGAAAGGGCTCATGTAGAAGAGTATGCTCCCCGATTAACACGCTACACTCCTTCTCAATCCTCTGAGCCTGCACTGACAGCACATTTGCACTCCTAGAGTTAGGGACCACAGACCTCTGAGTCAATTGGCTCGAAGGAATGTCGCCAGTGTTCTCAAAGACGTCGTGAGTGTCCTCCGGAATACAAACCTCGCTTCCCGGAATCAAAATACCCTCGCTTTCCGGCATCGGAGTACTCTCGTCCTCCTCCCTAGATGAGGGAAGGTACTCGATTTCGTAGACTCTTCGCGATCTACCTTGACCGTGAAGTTGGCTTGAAGGAATCTGACGACTGCTCACAGAGTTCTCGCCAATTACCTCGCTAAGCGGTGAAGAACGATATGTCCGGTAAGTGGGGGACGACTCCCCGTATCGAGAGCGCATCGAGGAAAAATCGATATGGCGCGTAGAAGAGGTATACTCATGAGTATAAACAGGTGCAGAGGGCCTAGACTGTGAGGGTGTTGGGGGTGCTCTCTGGGATGCCGGGAGTGCTCTCTGGGATGCATTCTGGCTGGGTGCTGAAGTGGGTGCTGCTCTCCCTTGACCTTGTTTACGTATTACTTTCGCGCCCGGTCGAGTTCCCCTCTGAATCGTTAGCCACTAATACTTACATGTTAAAAAGCATCAATGAGCGAGATAGAGTCGAACCTGTACCACGTCCACCGACACGTTGGAAGAAGCAATGACCTCCGCTACCGCGCCAGTTGGTTTCCTCCGAGCATTGCCCAGTGCTCTGGCAGTAGTCGGCTGAACTGTATGAGGTCTCTTTCCGACAGTCTGAGACTTCTGTGTGTAAGATGGGGGGGGGGGCTTGAGGTTCATCCTCCGGTTCATCCTCATCCTCCTCAGAGCTCTCGTGGTCATTCTCCGGAGCATCATCATAGTCTGAGTGGCTAGTATGAACTATTTCTTCCACCTCTGGCGCCTCAATTGCCTCTGGCGCCTCAATTGCCTCAGGCTCCTCCTGCGCTTCAAAATTATCAGTATGATCCTCGGGGAGATGAAATTCTACCCTCCTAGGACTGCTCCTCCCAGTGGGGGTTTCGGAGGAACGGAGAAGACCTTTCCGAGTTATTTGAGCGGCGGTGGTCGACTGACTACTCCGAGTGCGGGCTGGCAGTGGAGTCAATGTTCGGTAAGATATTTCAGACTCGTCAGTCAGTAAATCTTCATGTTCTTCAGGTCGTTTTGGGAGTCGTGGGCGCTTTGGGGCAAGAGGTGCTGAACCGGAGGAGCGCTTGGTGGGAGCCATTCTGATGACTGGCAGGAATATCCGCAGTGCTCTAGGAGCACTCGCGATATCTTCGATTAGAAATCAATTCTTGGCGACAAAATTTGCGCCGCTAATCAAGAAAAATTTGCACCGCTAATCCTCTTACGGCAGGGATCATCCTATGTTACCACAATTTCTGCACTCAACCGCATCATTTATCATCACTTGTTTTACTGCACTTTCTGAAGCGGTACCGAGTGTTCTGAGAGCAATCTAGGAGTTTGATTCGACTTTGAAATAAAAGCAATGCAATTACTACCTGGAATAATCTAATCTAATCTAATCTAATCTAATCCTACCCGATATAACCCATCCATTGATATACTCTCGCAAGACAAAGGGAAATCCAAAACACCAAATCGTACCGCACCTCAATAGCTATCGCGAGTGCTCAGGGAGTAATCCTAACAACTATTAAAAGGTTAGTGACAATTCCGCAGGAAGGGAAGTTAGAGATTATACCAAAGGGAACTAATGATGCCCACCACCATCACCACCATCACCACCACCACCATCACCACCGCCTCCAGCTGGCCCACCACCACCATCACCACCGCCTCCAGCTGGCCCACCACCACCACCACCACCGCCTCCAGCTGGCCCTCCACCACCACCGCCGCCCGGAGGAGGAGGAGGTCCGCCCGGAGGCGGTGGAGGTCCTAGACCACCACCACCAGCACCACCACCACCACCACCACCACCACCACCACCACCACCTCCACCACCACCTCCATCACCACCACCTCCACCTCCACCACCACCTCCACCACCACCACCTCCAGCACAAGCAGCCGCGAGTGCGTCAGCAGCTCTCTTGGCTGCTATCCCGGCAGGTATCCAGATCGTCCCCTGTAAGAAGTTTGGTCAGCAACCCCGACACCGAAAGGATACTTCCTAAGGTATTTGGTGTAACGGGGGTGCTAGGATGATACACGACCGTGACTTCGATCTGACATAGAAAGGGTAAACGGGCAACGATGGATTCATTGGGCTCGTTCGATCGAAAGATGGAGTTTATTTGTTTGATCGTATTTGTAGTCTAAAAACTTAATAACTTTAAGGGGTCTCCTCGCTAGTAAAGATTCCATCCCTCCCCGAGTTCAAACTGGGGGCAACCGAGTACTTTTATCGAAGTTCCGCTTTTTTTTCTCCCTAGACCCTTCGTTTTTTCCCCCTAGTCCGGGGACACCGCGACTTTTTTCTATGAGGGGCGAGAGGAGTTGCTGCCACCCCTCGGACGAACTTCCGCCCGAGTCAAATCACGCAATCTCTGCCAAGAGCTGGTCGGGATCCTAAGAACTAGCGGAAACAACCGACCAGATAGCAATTGCTTATTCAATTTGTTTTAGAACAGATTTGGTGTTTTTGTAAAGCGAGGTTTGCTTTTAGTAGCTTGGGTCGTACTCCTACTCCCCCTCAAAGGTGCTCCGGGCTGAAACAGGAGGGTTCCGGCGGTTCGACGCTCCGGGGGTTATTTTTGGGGTCTAAAACGTGTTTATTTTGCAGTGTTTCCTCAACTCCGCAATCCGTTCATTCAACCACCCCAAATGGACCGGAGCATCGTCAGGATCCTTCCTGACGTGTTTAAAAGCATATTTTCCGAGCATCGGTTGCTAAGTTATTGCACCTCAAAGGTTGACTTCCAAGGTAGGGTAAACTTATGTTTGGGGTTACCCTTCCGTTATTTGGCATGCTCGTCCTTCTGCTCTAGTTTTGGTCCCAGTCGCCTAGCTTGACTTATAAGACTTCTTGCTCGCCAGGATCCCTACCCTTCAT